GCAACCCAGGCAACGATTAGTTCTGTGAAACAAAGCAAAACCAATGTTACACCGTGTCTACTATAGAACTCATTATAATCAGTGATGCTGTCTACACCATAGATATATATATATATATATATACATATCTATGGTCTACACTGGATGCGGCATGACACGACAAATCCCTGACAGAAAACTGCTGCTCTGTTCTATTTATGACGTATTGACACAAATTTCAAATAATTTTAAATGGTCGCTTTGTTGCGTCCAGTGTACTAGACAGACTTTAGCAGTTGCGGCACAGACATGGTGTTACTCACCTATCGAGAAGAAACAAAGCAACCTCGGCGTCCGATCGCGGACCTTCCGCTCCTTGAGTTCTCTCCAGCGCTGGAAAGCTGATCCGATATTTACACGGTCCTACTTCTTGCCTTATTGCCTTAAGCCTTCTTTTGTTCCGCAGACGTTTTCCTTTTTTGTTATTTATCCGTCATCTTTCTGTCGCTCGGCTCGCTAATGTCTGTCATGTGCACTGAACGTTTTCTCCTCCACATCATGAGTAGACACGCCCCTTACTGCTGATTGGCTACAAGTTTGTTTTGCTAATCGGCCCGAATCAGTTTTCTAAAGCGTTTTTGAAAAATCGCTTACCCCACCTTTAATTGTAAAGAAGGTTTCCTTTGGGTTTCTCAGAAATTAAGTCATACAGGTTTGGGATGACATAAGGGTGAGAAGATATTTTGAAGATGTTTCAACTGTTTTGTCAATGGGGTCCAAAACAACAACACTGGAACAACATGAGAGCAACACTGACTTTAATTGTAAGGACGAAAGGTTTCTTTTAGGTTTCTCAGAAAGTACATCATACAGGTTTCGAACAACGTGTGGGTGAGTAAATAACAGGCACTTTTCGCACTTTTCAGGCTCTGAGAAGAAGAGGTCATCACAGCTGTGTAAACTTCTATAGTGGTGAACAGAAACTACAGAAACTAGTTCAAACAAAAATCCACAATAGTGTTTCTTTGACTTTCAAAAGGAGGAAAAAAATATTGAGAAATGATGTTGGTCCCTCAGCTGTTGGATTAGAAATATTTGCTACAGCAGTGTTAACCAGTTTTCTGTAATTGAATGCCTATCTAATAAAATACAAAGTATGTGAGTTAAATGTTACGTATAAAAACTTGATAGATTTACAATGCTAATAACTGTGGAAACACGTCACACATCATAATCTGTGAAAAGGTTTCATGATCAAATAAACATTTTCTGAATGAATTTATTCCTTAAAGACATTCCGCCATATTACACAGGCTGCACTTTTATTCCACACGGTCATGTCATTGTTCAAATCAAATAAAAAATGGCATCTACTCCAACTCAGAAGGTCTGTGACAGCACACACTCACACACAATGCGTGCACCTGTTCGTAACAATGGGAAGGCACCGCAACAACCAGCTGTTCAGTCAACAACACTTGAAAACCGTACGAGCACCGACGGAGAGCAAAAGAGCGTGGTACTTGGTACCATAACAGGCGCCAGATCCTTCTTTCATCCAGCATCATTACGACCGATGCGACTAATAAAATGTCTCGGTGACGCATCGGTCCTCGGCTCTCTCGCACCTTGGTGGCAGGCCTTCGGAGCACTCTGGGACTGACAGTCCTTTAATGGATCGAACCTTATCAAGTATTTAATTGTAACGGCACAATCTAATTAGGTGGCTCTTAATAGAGGTAATATTCGGTTATTGGTTATTAGTATAATGCCTGGGATGTGCGGCAGCGCGGGGTCTTTAAGCCGTGATGTATCGCAGCGGAGTTAATAAGACTCCGCACTCACCCTCCAATCTCTCGCTCTCTTTCAGGAGAGATGGTAAGCTGATACTACATAAACATTGTTAAAACCACAGCCTCCTGCTGCAGTAATTCACTTAGCTCTGGCCTTGATTTATGGCTCTGTCAATAGAGGGTGACTGGAAACTCTGGACGCTGGGACTGCGATGTAGCCATTGTATTTACAGTAATAATGGAATGGACGACTCCCTCTTGCCCTTCTTTTGGTGTAGTTCTCCGTCTTACCTTTCCCGACGCCGTCTTTTCACGGCCCGGCTCTTTCTGTTGGGGGTAGGACGCAAACTTTTATGAAGGAGATGTGAAGACACGCAGGTGGTGTCTTTACCGTCCCTGGTGGATTGGATTAGCCCGAGGCGCTGCCGCAGAGACCGAACCCCGCTGAGACACACCCTTTACAAAGCTGAGTCAGGATTTGAGTGGACGACGC